CGTTATAAACTCTGCCCTTCAGGGCGAGAGTAATGTCGCGACTGCGCCACAGGTGGCGGAGAGTGGCAAAAGCACCTCGAGCTTTTGCTATACGGTTCGTAACCTCATCTTCGATTCCACGGGTGCTAATAAAGCTGCCCAGGTACTTGAATTCCTGAGGGACTTCTAGCAGATCACCACAAAGCGTTAGCGCAGGGTGGGTTCCTGTCAATCTTGGAGAAGTACTTTGCATTTCGATGGAGAAAAGCATAGTCTAACGCGATAGACAGCCAGTGCTAATCGGTCCAGTGCTGCTTGACATGTTTGGTAGCTGTCACAGATTAGGACAATATCGTCCGCGTACTCCAAGTCAAGAAGCCGCTCAGCAGGAAGTAGCTCCACACCTTCTAGGTCGTGTCCAGCGAACGCTGTTTCCATGACTTCATCAATAGCGAAGTTGAGGAGGAAAGGTGACAGCGAACAACCTTGTCTTACACCGCTGGCGACAGTCTGCTATAAACCCTAATTCTGCTCGAACTATACGCGTACAGCGCTTTGATAATGATTACGTATTTATCAGGCACATCTTTCTTCAGCAGACAGTCCCAAAGGGCACATCGATCGACTGAGTCGAAGGCATATTTTATGTTATAATCTTCTCACTAGACGCAACTCCAAAAATAACAATTCACTGCTCCGCAAAACTTCTAGCCCAACCGAAGGAAAAAAGCAGAACGCCAATGACCCTGACAAATAACGTATTAATCGCAGCCAACGAACACTGTACAACGACTGAGGACCCTGGCTGTATTTATAGGTCTCTGCTGACCTTCGACTTCTAGAATTGGAAGGTCAGCTGCCAAGGTTAGTGGTTCCCCATATCTTTTCCCGAGAGGTCAGGTGGATTTTGATCACGTGTAGAAGAAGAACATTCAGGAACGTTCGAAATCGATGCGATAATCGTTAATAATCGATTAATCGCTAAAATAGGGAATTTCCAAGGCAATTCTTACTTTCTCCCGGACACCTCCCCTCCTGAGATATGTTCCGAGGTGTAAGAGGAAAGCCTGGGATCAACTTGCAGTCTTCGGGACGGTGTTCTCTGCCTGTCGGTCCACCTCCTTGGCAGAAGCGCCCGAGAGCCTTGTTCCGATGTTCTTGTTCTGGATTCGTTGCTCGACCTTGGGCAGTCGTCCACTGTTACTTTCGGCAGGTTGAAAGTTTCCACCAGTAAATCGAACGGGAGATCAGTAGGCCTTTCTTGTTCTGGCTGGCACAATGTGGGACGTAACTGGTTTGCATGCCGCGGCCAGACCTGTGCGCCCACCTTCACGTCATACATGACGTTTCCGCGCTTGCTTATGACCCTCCCTGGCGTCCACTTCGCATGGCCATCCCGGTAGTCACGTACTAGCACCTTCTGTCCAAGCGTGAATGATCGCTTCTTTGCTCCATGCCGCCGGTTAAACTCCTGTTCCATTCTGCGGTTTCTTTCACCAACAGAGGACTCCGAGCCCGGTCGGATGGCGTCGAAAGGCATGCGGAGCTTCCGGTTCATCATAACCTGTGCTGGAGAGACTCCGTCTGGTGCTTGTGGATTCGGTGTTGATCGGTAGAGGAAAAGGAACCGGTCAACCACCTCCTCTATACGTCCCTCCCCTTTTGATTTTTGGAGGGCTCGCTTGAATGTGTCGACAAATCTTTCTGCCTGGCCATTCGACTGTGGGTGAAACGGCGGCGAGCGAACGTGCTGGACGGCGCATTGCTTGCAGAACTCCTTAAACGCTGCTGAAGTAAACTGTGAGCCATTGTCAGTGACCATTGTCTCAGGACAGCCGAATCTGCTAAAGGCTTGGCGCAGTTTCGATATGGTGGCATTGGTGGTGGTGTTATCCATGAGAAATACTTCTGGCCACTTGCTGTATGAGTCGACTATAATGAGGAAACTTCTCCCGTTGATCGGCCCTGCGAAGTCGACATGAATGCGGCACCACGGCTTAGTAACTATTGGCCATGAACAGAGTTCTGCTTTCGGTGGCGCTTTCAAGACATCGGCACACTTTTGGCAGCGTCTGGCTATTTCTTCTAACTGTTTGTCCATTAAGGGCCAGTATACATAACTGCGGGCAAGCGCCTTCATCCGGTTGATTCCAGGATGCCCGGCGTGGAACTGTCGAAGAATGCGCTCCTGAAGTGTCTTGGGGATGACCACTCTTTCCGAAAATAGTATGCAATCGTTTACAATAGCGAGTGAGTGTCTCCTCTGAAAATACTGTTGCAACTCGGCGGATGGACAGGAACGTGGCCAACTTGTTTTGTGAAACTGAGTAACCTTCTTGAGTATTGGGTCCCGAAGTGTTTCGGTCCGCACAGCTTCTGCGGTAACTGGTAGACAGTGCAGTGCATCAGTTACCAGAAAGTTGACGTCTGGTTCAATCTCCACCGAGGCAATGATTGTGTCTTCATGTTCTTGCTGACGGGTATCAATTAGGCGTGACAGTGCATCTGCTTGGCCAATGGAAACTGTCGACTGATATTGGATCTCGAAATCATACCCCATTAAGGTAAGAGCCCAACGTTGTAGCCTGTTGGCTGTGTAGGCCGGGATGCCCTTTTTCGAACCAAAGATAGCGAGCAAGGGTTTGTGATCTGTCAGAAGCTTGAAGCGGCGGCCGTATAGCATTTTGTGGAATTTCTTAACCGCGTACACTATGGCCAATGCTTCTTTCTCAATCTGACTGTAGTTCTTCTCGGCCTTGGTAAGGGTTCTGGCGGCATGGGCGATTGCTTTTTGAGATCCATCCGTGTATGTGTGTGCAATTACTGCACCAATCCCATGGCTTGATGCATCTGTGGTTAGGACGATCTCTTTGGAGGGATCGAAATGTGTCAAAAGCAAGTTTGAAGACAACAGTGACTTGACGCGTTCGAAGGCATTCTGACATTCTGCTGTCCAGTTCCAAGGTTGTCCTTTGGATAGGAGCTTGTTTAACGGGGCACGCAAGCGGTGCATCTCAGGCAAAAATGCGCTGTAGTGGCTGATGAGCCCACAAAAGGAACGCAGAGACTGTAGATCTGTGGGTGGAGGCATTTTTCTAATGGCTTCGATGTTTTCCGGGTCTGGTCGACGTCCATCCTTTTCGAGGATAAACCCGAGGTATTTGATGAGCGGCGTGAAAAATGTGCATTTATCCTCACGTATCCGGAAGCCGTACGACTGTATGCAACATAGCACTTCATCCAAGCGGTTGAAGAGTTCTTCCGGTGTTCGACCCATCACTATGATATCGTCCAGATATGCAGCGGTTCCAGAAACACCCGCTAGCATAGTGTCCATCAACTGTTGGAAGATGGCTGGCGCCGTTTTCACACCAAATGGCAAGCGGTTGTATTGAAATAGCCCACGATGAGTGTTGATCGTCAACAACTCCCTCGAGACTTCGTCAACATCCACTTGCAGATAAGCATCGGATAGATCAAGCTTTGCAAAGTACTTACCACCATTCAGCTTTGCAAAGATATCCTCCGGTACAGGTAAGGGATACTGATGGTCGTCCAGCGCGGCGTTGAGGCCAGTTGAAAAATCAGCGCAGACGCGTACCTTGCCATTTGCTTTCTTCACTGCGACAATAGGTGCGGCCCATGATGAGTAGTTGACGGCTGTGATGACTCCGGCACGTTCCAGTCGATCGAGCTCTTGCTCAACGGTTGACATGGCTGCATATGGTACCGGTCTTCTAGCCTTGAACACTGGTTTAGCACCTGGTCGCAAGTTCAGTGTTGCCTTGAATTTCGTACAGTGGCCCAAGCCATCCTGAAAGACAGAAGCAAATTTTCTCTTCAGGGTACGTGTCATGTCTTCGACGGACTTTGTTGATGGGTCTGGACTTGCTCGAACTCGGTTGCAGATCTGATTCAAGGGAACATCGAGGAGGTTCAACTTTTCAATCCAGTCGAGGCCAAGAAGATTCAAATTCGGCCGGTCCGAAATGTAGCATGTTCCCGACTTTTCCACACCTTGGAAAGCAATCTTGCAATTGAGTTCGCCCACTAAGCGTAACACACCGCCGGATGCATTATGTGCAACTTTCTGGGAGTCGACCATCTTCGGCCTCTTTAGGTGATTCCATGTGCGCCTGGAAATGATGGTGATGTCTGAGGCCGTGTCAATTTGCAGTTTCGTTGGGATACCATTGATTAATACAGTGATGAATCGTCGTCTCGGTTTGCACTCGCTTTGGAATGCGGCGACTATGGAGAGAGATTCAGCGCCGCCCCTTCTAGAATTAACCCTTCGGTGAGACTTCTGCACTTTCTTCGACCGGACTTGACTGCAGCATTCCTCCTTATGCCCACGCTTATGGCACGTTTGACAAATATGTTGTTTGAAGGGACAAAAGCGAGCGAAATGCCATTCGCCGCATGACCAGCATGCTGTGGGCGGTTTCTTCGTAGGCCTCTTGAAGGATTTGCTTGCTTTGGCGGTCATGGTCTTTTTCACGAGTTGCACGGTATTTGGTGATGCTAGACCATTGCGTTCGACCATGGCAGTGTCGTGTTTTAGAGTGAGAAGCCGCTTGCATTCGCTTACGAGAGCCTTCAGTGTCAGATCAGGGTCCTGCTCTAGCTTAGCTAAAAGCCGCGTTCGGATTTCAGCATCACTGGGCGATTGTAGAGCACTGACGAAAATGAGACACTTAAACTGATCGTCCGTTAAAGAGCGTAGTTTGAATCGTTCACACTCACGGTTAATCATGTCTGCTAAGGCCCCAAAATCGTCAGATTCCTGTTTGACTATTTTCAGGCATTGATAGCGAATACTAAACAAAGATACCGACTCACCAAAAATTTCCTTCAACTGCGACACTGCTTCGTCAAATGTCAGATCCTTCGGCTGTTTGGGCAAAATGTGGTCTATGAACCTTGAATGTTCACTTATTCCGAGCTTGCGGAGTAGCAATCGCACTTTCCAGGAGTCGTCCTGACGAATGAAGTCCGTCTGGAACATGTCTTCCCAGCGCTTGAACCACGCTTCGAAAGTGCTTCCAGAATCCGCATCATAATGGAATTCAGTGATGGCGTTCGTGAGAAGATCAACAGAACTCGCCTGCGTGTCCCGCGTCGCTGCTCCAGTTGTCTGCAAACTCAAGCATTTTGTCAGATTTTCAATCATTTTCATTTGCGCCTCCATTTGAGCTTGCTGTTGAAAAAGCAGCTTTTGAAATTGTTCAGCAGAAAAATTCATCACATTTCCACTTTTCTCCGTCGCCATTTGTTATAATCTTCTCACTAGACGCAACTCCAAAAATAACAATTCACTGCTCCGCAAAACTTCTAGCCCAACCGAAGGAAAAAAGCAGAACGCCAATGACCCTGACAAATAACGTATTAATCGCAGCCAACGAACACTGTACAACGACTGAGGACCCTGGCTGTATTTATAGGTCTCTGCTGACCTTCGACTTCTAGAATTGGAAGGTCAGCTGCCAAGGTTAGTGGTTCCCCATATCTTTTCCCGAGAGGTCAGGTGGATTTTGATCACGTGTAGAAGAAGAACATTCAGGAACGTTCGAAATCGATGCGATAATCGTTAATAATCGATTAATCGCTAAAATAGGGAATTTCCAAGGCAATTCTTACTTTCTCCCGGACATTTTATGTCAAGAAACACAACGGTGGGTCGCCAATAAACATGGCGGTGCTACAACAATGGACGCGAGGTGATAGAATGGGATCGATGCAGCCCCGACCTCGACGAAACCCGGATTTCTCTTCGCGAATCTGGCTTTCACGGGTGCAAGTCAATCTGGGAAGAAAGAGAAGTAAGAGGCAATTGTGATCAGACTGATCCTGCTATGATTGCCGCATTCTGAACGGGCGCCTCCCTTGAAAATTGGGACTATGACTGAGCGGCTCCAGTCTGTCGGGACAGTCTCCTGCTCCAAGAGTTCCACTAGCAATTCCTGTGAATGATTTACAAGAGCAGGTCCCCCGAATTTGAAGAGGGCTGAGGGAATTCTATCTGCCCCTGCGGCCTTATGCAATTTCAACAGCCTGATCCCATGTTCGACTTCTGCGCGTGAGGGCGGATCCAAGGAGACGTCCCAGAGAGAAGGGCGCTCAATGGCCGAAAAAGAGAGTAATAACTCAGGTTGGTTAAATTGCCTTACAGTGTTCTGCCCAACGCTCTA